CAGTACGATTCATAATTTTATAGTTGTGGTTCTAATTTGAACCTGAATTAGACCATTAAAATATATAAATAAAACAGTACTCATAACTGCTCTCTCTGCTGCAGCATGCTTTGCCCTGAGCCTGGCCTCCAAAGATGTCTTCTCCTCCATAGTTGTCTTCTATTTCGATGGATCCTTTTTCTTTCTGGTCGAAATAAATTGAGACAAATATTAGAGAGAGAGAAGAAGAAGAAGGGGGAGAGAGAAATATAGAGAAAATTATTGAATTTACTTTTGCAACTGAAGATGCTGCTCTTCCTCTAACAGCCTCACGGCCTCAGTTGTGAACGTCAAAAGCGGAGACATTGGTTGCTGATCCTTTTCTTTCTTGCTCTTTCTCTACTGGTCTTTGAGCCATATGATTTGAGGGAAACCTTTCTTCTTCTTGTCTTTCTTTTCTAGCTCTTTCTCTCTATAGCGATCCCGGGTTTACCCTTGTTGTACAGTGACCCGGACATGTGTCCGTGGGTGTTGGTTGTTGTTTATTATCTTGTTTGCATCCTTTTTACTTCGTGTTTGAGTTATAGGATGTGTTGGGCGGGTTTGTTACAGGTTGGTTGAGTTTAGAAACCAAAACTAGTTGCCCAGATTTTTGGCCTGTCCGCTCGATACCCTTTCTAAAGCTCTTTCATTTTCCCTGTATTTTCTCAGCAAAAATAAATATGCCCAATTTCTAACGAAGATAAATAATACTTCAGAGTGCGATTCGTAATTTTATATTTGTGGTTCTAATTTGAACCTGAATTGGACCATTAAAATATATAAATAAAACAATATTCATAAGTGCTCTCTCTACGGCTGCATGCTTTGCCCTGAGCCTGGCCTCCATAGATGTCTTCTCCTCCATAGATGTCTTCGGTTTCGATGGATCCTTTTTTTTCTGGTAGAAATTAAATGAGACAAGGATTAGAGAGAGAGAGGAAGAAGAACGGAGGAGAGAGAAACATAGAGAAAATTACTGAATTTACTTTAGCAACTGAAGATGCTGCTCTTCCTCCAACAGCCTCATGGCCTCAGTTGTGAACGCCAAAAACGGAGACATTGGTTGCTGATCCTTTTCTTTCTTGCTCTTTCTCCACTGATCTTTGAGCCATATGATTTAAGGGAAACCTTTCTTATTCTTGTCATTCTTTTCTAGCTCTTTCTCTCTGTTCTGTTTTCAAGAAAATATAGGAAAATTTAGGGGGAAAACTAAACCAAGAATCATCAACTCTAAACCATCAATCAAGGTATCAAGGATGGGTTATCCAAATTGGTTTTGAATTCAAATTTAAAACTTACATAGATAAGGTTCAAAAGGGTCAAAGGTCATGCCACATGGGTGCCCAATTTCTAACAAAGATAAATAATACTTCACAGTACGATTCGTAATTTTATAGTTGTGGTTCTAATTTGAACCTGAATTGGACCATTAAAATATATAAATAAAATGATATTCATAAGTGTTCCTTTTAAAATAAAAAATTCACAATAAATTATATCAATCTATATAAAAATTTTATAATAATTTTTATTTGGGTTTTGCTCATATGCGTGTAGATATATATGGAGCATGGGAATTAAATGGAGAAAAAAAAATAAACTATGATTTTGAGAGAAAAAAGCAATTAGAAATTGAAACAGTAAAGTGGGAATTCAAATTGGACCAACAAAACGACACAGTATTGAATCACAACAGGTGCTACTGTGAGGAATTCAGAGCAGCATCCCCGAACCCATTTCGTGATAATGTAGCATATCCTATCGATAGATATAGATATCAAGAATGGGTTATCCAAATAGGTTTTGAATTCAAATTCAAAACTTACATAAATAAGGTTCAAAAGGGTCAAAGGTCATGCCACATTGGTGCCCAATTTCTAACAAAGATAAATAATACTTCACAGTACGATTCATAATTTTATAGTTGTGGTTCTAATTTGAACATGAATTGGGCCATTAAAATATATAAATAAAACGGTATTCATAAGTGCTCTCTCTACTGCAACATGCTTTGCCCTGACCTTGGCCTCCATAGATGTCTTCTTCTCCATAGTTGTCTTTGGTTTCGATGGATCCTTTTTTTTTTCTGGTCGAAATAAATTGAGACAAAGATTGGAGAGAGAGAAGAAGAAGAAGGGGGGAGAGAGAAATATAGAGAAAATTACTGAATTTACTTTTGCAACTGAAGATGCTGCTCTTCCTCCAACAGCCCCATGGCCTCAGTTGTGAACGCCAAAAACGGAGACTTTGGTTGCTGATCCTTTTCTTTCTTGCCCTTTCTCCACTGATCTTTGAGCCATATGATTTGAGGGAAGCCTTTCTTCTTGTTGTCTTTCTTTTCTAGCTCTTTATCCCTACTCTGTTTTCAAGAAAATTTAGGAAAATTTATGGGGAAAACTAAACCAAGAATCATCAACTCTAAACCATCAATCTGGGTTCAGCTTCTGAGAAAATGTAGGAAAATTACCCTTTCTAAAGCTCCTTCATTTTCTCAGCAAATATAAATAAGCCCAATTTCTAACAAAGATAAATAATACTTCACAGTACGATTCGTAATTTTGTAGTTGTGGTTCTAATTTGAACCTGAATTGGACCATTAAAATATATAAATAAAACGATATTCATAAGTGTTCCTTTTAAAATAAATAATTCATAACAAATTATATCAATCTATATAAAAATTTTATAATAATTTTTATTTGAATATTGCTCATATGCGTGTATATATATGGAGTATGGGAATTAAAAGGAGAAAAAGAAATAAACTATAATTTTGAGAGAAAAAAGCAATTAAAAATTGAAACCGCAAAGTGGGAATTCAAATTGATCCAACAAAACGACACAGTATTAAATCACAACAGGTGCTACTGTGAGGAATTCACAGCAACATCCCCGAACCTATTTCGTGATAGTGTAGCATATGCTATCGATAGATATACATATCAAGAATGGGTTATCCAAATAGGTTTTGAATTCAAATTCAAAACTTACATAGATAATGTTCAAAAGGGTCAAAGGTCATGCCACATGGGTGCTCAATTTCTAACAAAGATAAATAATACTTCACAGTACGATTCATAATTTTATAGTTGTGGTTCTAATTTGAACCTAAATTGGACCATTAAAATATAAAAATAAAACGATATTCATAAGTGCTTGCTCTACTGTAGCATGCTTTGCCCTGGGCCGGGCCTCCATAGATGTCTTCTCCTCCATAGATGTCTTCAGTTTCAATGGATCCTTTTTTTTCCTGTAGAAATTCAATGAGACAAAGATTAGAGAGAGAGTAGAAGAAGAAGGCGGAAGAGAGAAATATAGAGAAAATTACTGAATTTACTTTTTCTGCTGAAGATGCTGCTCTTCCTCCAACAGCCTCATGGCTTCAGTGTTGAACACCAAAAACGGAGACATTAGTTGCTGATCCTTTTCTTTCTTGCTCTTTCTCCACTGATCTTTGAGCCATAAGATTTGAGGGAAACCTTTCTTCTTCTTGTCTTTCTTTTCTAGCACTTTCTCTCTGTTCTGTTTTCAAGAAAATGTAGGAAACTTTAGGGGGAAAACTAAACCAAGAATCATCAACTCTAAACCATCATTCTGGGTTCAGTTTTTGAGAAAAATGTTGGAAAATTACCCTTTCTAAAGCTCTTTCATTTTCCCTATATTTTCTCAGCAAAGATAAATAAGCCCAATTTCAAACAAAGATAAATAGTACTTCACATTACGATTCATAATTTTATAGTTGTGGTTCTACTTTGAACTTGAATTCGACCATTGAAATATATAAATAAAATGATATTCATAAGTGTTCTTTTCAAAATAAAAAATTCATAATAAATTATATCAATCTACATAAAAATTTTATAATAATTTTTATTTGAATATTACTCATGTGCATGTATATATATGGAGCATGGAATTAAAAGGAGAAAAAGAAATAAACTATGATTTTGAGAGAAAAAAGCAATTAAAAATTGAAACAGCAAAGTGGGAATTCAAATTGATCCAACAAAACGACACAGTATTGAATCACAACAGGTGCTATTGTGAGGAACTCACAGCAGCATCCCCGAACCCATTTCATTATCATGTAACATATGCTATCGATAGATATAGATATCAAGAGTGGGTTATCCAAATAGGTTTTGAATTCAAATTCAAAACGTACATGGATAAGGTTCAAAAGGGTCGAAGGTCATGCCACATGAGTACCCAATTTCTAACAAAGATAAATAATACTTCACAGTACGATTCATAATTTTATAGTTGTGGCTCTAATTTGAACCTGAATTGGACCATTAAAATATATAAATAAAACGATATTCATAAGTGTTCTCTTTTAAAATAAAAAATTCATAAAAAATTACATCAATGTATATAAAAATTTTATAATAATTTTTATTTGAATATTACTCCTGTGCGTGTATATATATGGAGCGTGGGAATTAAAAGAAGAAAAAGAAATAAACTATGATTTTGAGAGAAAAAAACAATTAAAAATTGAAACAGCAAAGTGAGAATTCAAATTGATCCAACAAAACGACATAGTATTGATTCACAGCATGTGCTATTGTGAGGAACTCACCACAGCATCCCCGAACCCATTTCGTTATCATATAACATATGCTATCGATAGATATAGATATCAAGAGTGGGTTATCCAAATAGGTTTTGAATTCAAATTCAAAACTTAAATGGATAAGGTTCATAAGGGTCAAAGGTCATGCCACATGAGTGCCCAATTTCTAACAAAGATAAATAATACTTCACAGTACGATTCATAATTTTATAGTTGTGGTTCTAATTTGAACCTGGATTGGACCATTAAAATATATAAATAAAACGATATTCATAAGTATTATCTTTTAAAATAAAAAAATTCATAATGAATTATATCAATCTATATAAAAATTTATAATAATTTTTATTTGAATATTACTCTTGTGCGTGTATATATATGAAGCATGGGAATTAAAAGGAGAAAAAGAAATAAACTATGATTTTCGGGAAAAAAATTAAAAATTGAAACCGTAAAGTGAGAATTCAAATTAATCCAACAAAACGACACAATATTGAATCACAGCAGGTGCTACTGTGGGGAACTCACAGCAGCATCCCCGAACCCATTTCGTTATCATGTAACATATGCTATCGATAGATATAGATATCAAGAGTGGGTTATCCAAATAGGTTTTGAATTCAAATTCAAAACTTACATGGATAAGGTTCAAAAGTGTAATGCACTCAAAATAAACCCATAAATCATGCATTCATTGCATCCATAAACTTAAGAGAGTAAAACATAATGCCTTTCATCAGAGTATTCTTACAAGAGATATTACATGTTGACGGCAAAGGTAAATGCCCTGTAGGCTTACTACTTTCCATGTCAACACTTGGGTTTAACAAAAGTAGAGTTCTAACTCTTTACACAAAATAAGCCCATGGCTTGATATACATGTATTACATAAAAGATAACTCAAAAAGGTCTTTCAGCCTCTAGCCTCTCAAGCTACGTTCTGGGAGGTGGCATATCACCTGAGCCAAAAAATATTATCCCATATAGGGTGAGCCAATACCTAGTAGAGATATACTGAACATAATATGGGCAATAACTAAAACATTTGCATTTGATAAATGTGTAACTGATAAAAACCAACATACAGTACAATCCAGTTCCATAATCCTTTACTTATCCAATTCTCAACTTATAAGCGCGGCTCAGAACCTGGCCAAACAACTTAAATGAGACTACATCTCATGCCAATAATACTTCAAACTGCCATTTTACGGAATTTTCATCCGCGGGATTCGGCACCCATGTATAAATATTTTCGAATTGCCATTTTACGGAAATTTCATCCGCGGGACTCGGCACCCATGTATCAATATTTTCGAATTGCCATTTTATGAAAATTTCATCGGCAGGACTCGACACCCATGTATTCGAATACTTATCATATACAATGACCAATCAATACACATATTCGCTGTATTATTCTAACCGTCATACTCAATGACATACTCAAATTGATTTAGTTTTAATTCACCTAGTCATCATGCAATGTCTACAACAATCAAGACTATCCTCCACCGATAGCCCAAAGTACTTATTTCTAAACAAATAATAAACGCATCAACAGATAAATTATCAATAATTCTCAATGGTGAATGATTATTAAATCCAACTCCACCATTCTACTACATAATGAGCCAATTTCATTATTCCCAACTCAATTTCATATTTCCATAAAAATTAATTATATAAATTAATTCGTGACAAAAATTAGAGCTTTTCTCCCTCCTTCTCAACATTGACCAAAAGGCTCAACTATCAACAACAAACAACAATAATCTCATTTGAGACCCAAAATGCATAAGTAATGGCCCAAAGAACAAAACCCCTCTTTAAACAATTGAAACCCTAACACCCAAAATTACCCAACTTCAACATTATATCAAAATGGCTAAAAGTTTATATCAAAGACCATAAAAATGAGCAATTATCCCTACCTCAAAAGATGAGACCAAAAGGAGAAGATGAAGAATTTCGAAATGCTCCAAATCCCAAGATTTTCATATGGAAATGTAGCCCAAGCCAAGCTCTACACTATTTGTAAAGGAACTAAGGTAGGAGATCACTCAAACTAGATCAAACCTTAGAGAGAAGTTGAAGTTTAGAGTGATGTGCCCTTCAATGGAGGCTTTGAAAACTTAGAGAGAGAAAGGAAGCTGAAAAAGTGATCCAAAAAGTCAAAATTCGGACTGATATAAAAGTCACCTCGCTCGAGCGTGGAACTCCCCACTCGAGCGTCAGACACAGACTTACGCTCGAGTGTGAAAAGTGACGCTCAAGCATCGAATGCACCCTTCTAGAAGTTTTGCAGACCATGGTCCCCGCTCGGGCTTCAAAATCCCCGCTCGAGCGTCAAAAGCCCTGCTCGAGTGTCCAATGACCTGCAGAGAAAAAAATACTGGAAGATGGAAAATCACGCTCGAGCGTCAAAACGCCCACTCGAGCCTAAAAGCAAAAACAAAGGGCCCGCTCGAGCGT